ATTGTTGCTGCTGTCACACTTATTAAAAGCAAGACCAGGATCCTATTGCACAGAATCTATTTAAAGACAACACGGTACAAGGTGCACGCACTGAGTTTTATTTTTTGAGGACATTTTTGTTAAATCTAGGAGGAAATTCAGTGTAAGGATGAAAAATGCTTTGCTGCACATTATGTAATACAACATGGAAGACCACACAATGGCTGGTTTACAAAGGAGGGTGTGGGCGTTCATCAGCAAGGGTGTAGGCTTGATTTGCAAAGTGGGGAGAACATGAAACCTACAGTGGGATGCAAAAGATCGGGGCAACCTTGTTAATAGTCATTATTTTCCTGTATAAATCGTTGGTTGGTACAATAAAAAATGTCAGTTAAATATATCATACAGGAGACACACACAGTGATGTTTGAGAAGTGAAATGAAGTTTATTGGATTTATAGAAAGTGTGCAAGAATTGTTTAAACAAAATCAGGCAGGTGACCCCTGACCTACATACACAGGCAGTGTTGGTCAAGTTACTTGAAAAAAGTAATCAGTAACTAATTACTGATTACTTCCCCCCAAAAGTAATCCCGTTACTTTACTGATTACTTATTTTCAAAAGTAATTAATTACTTAGTTACTTCGTTACTTTTTAAAAACACAATTTACAACCTGAGTAGGTGATAAAGTGAAAGATTTTTCAGCCTAATTCTACTTCCTGCATAATCCATCATACAAAATGTAATCAAATGGAAAAGTCTCTTTTTAAAACTTGTTTTATCAGTTTTAATCTTTTAACTTTATGCATCAAGCAAAAATGTAATTATCTGCAACATTCTCTGACTGGAAGAAATTAGTTTAACATTTAAACCTATTTTCTGCACATTCCAGCACATAAAATAAAATATTTTGTGTGTGTTTACACTCAGTCTTTCAAATAGATGCAAGTAAAACACAGCAGAAAATAAATAAAGTCAAAGACTCAGCGGTCCTGTTGCTCTATTTTCACCTGTAAAGCAGGAGTGGGGTAGGCGGAGGTTTACCCTGGTGCAGGTGTGCCGCGGTCAGTGGAAGAATCCGCGAGTTTCTCTGTGAGTTTCCCATTACGTCGTAGCTACTCGGTGCTTGCTCGGAAGTTTAGGGGGTTTTTTCGCTGTAAAAAGAAGTTTTCTTCCCACGCACAGCGGACACTAATGTTTTTGTCACTTTTTATGGAATCAAACTCAAAGTAAGGTCCGTACTTCCACGCTTTAAACGCTGCACGCTCATACTCTCTCCCACACTCGATATGTGATTCATTGTTGATCTGCACACAGCTGCTGTCACGAACGTCGCACTCGCTTACGTCACTGTCGTGAGACGTTCTCGCAAAAAATCACGGTTTTAGTAACGCAGCGTTCCTACGGGAAAGTAACGGTAATCGAATTACCGTTTTTGCAATAGTAATCCCTTACTTTACTCGTTACTTGAAAAAAGTAATCGGATTACAGTAACGCGTTACTGCCCATCTCTGTACACAGGTGAATCCAATAATGAGAAAGAGTATTTAACGGGGTAAACTAAGTTTCCCTCCTCTTTTAATTTTCTCTCAGTAGCAACACGGGGGTCTCAAAACAACTCTCACATGACCTGAAGACAAAGCTTGTTCACCATCATGGTTTAGGGGAAGGACACAGAAAGCAGCACCAAAACCTACAACTGCCTCCAAAGCTCATACTGTACATGTAAAAGAAGGCATCTATCAATCTCCTGCCACCAACTGCGAATAACTCAAAACATTAAACAATCACTTAATTGTGATACAAGGAAAAGGCAGGAAGCTGTGATCAATGAGGAATTGGTTGGCTTTTAATTTGAAGGAGACGAAGACTTTGGAGTGCAGGAAAACGGCTTCAGTGTCGTTGTATGTGAAAAGGAAAAGTGATATAATGTCATGTTTTTAGTCTGGATTTCATTAAAAAAGCCAAAAGCAGGGACCCATCGCTGACACATGATTGGTCTTTTCGTTAATAAAAGAAATTAAGCATGATGATCAAAATCTCTGAATATGCTTTCGTGGTTTTTTGTGTGTATGTCGTGTTCTGAACAATCCAAAGATAGACAGGATGTTTACAGACTGCAGGAGCTCTGGGCTTATTTTACATCACTGTTATTACTACATACCAAGAATATCTCTTTTCTGCATCAATTCACTTCCCAGAAGAAAAAGCAATGGTGGAAAGAGCCGAAGGCAAGAACACAGACTAGATAATTATATCTTTTATTGCTATGTGCTCCCCATTACAACAAACAGCATCAGTAGTGTACACTTCAATCTACACAAATACATAGTAAAGCAAATAGAACAGAGTGACTTGCGTTCATGACAATCCAATACTTCAATGCATGGACAGCACAGGGGTATTGATACAGTACATGGAAAATCCTATGCAATAACAGCTGTCTGAGGCTCAGGGATTGTCAAAGTAACATCTACGGCTACTCTAGTTATCATTACAAGCTCTCTATAGCATTAGCAGCAGTGTTTATAGGCAGCAAGTAAATGATGTGAAAAGAACTGGGAGGAAAATGAAAATACTGCCAACTACAAACAGCATAAAACAGCTTTACTGGTACTACGCTATTCATGTTTTATCGGTTAAAATAAAGCATCTGTCTGGTCAGTTCACGCTGCTGCGTTGCAACGACTCGGATAAAGACTTCTACAAAACAGCTGTGAAAAAACAGCTTTCTGACAAGTAAAACATCTCAAAATTGAGCATGTATATTTACATCTAATTGTTTGCAAAAACAATGTCATTTCTAGTCTACTGTGTTTGTTAACAAGCACAAATCTGCTTCCAATGTGAAAATATGACCGGAGAAAGAGGTGATCAGTTTTCAATGGTTTATCCAATGCAGCTTATCGGCCGGCTGCTGCACACGCTGCGACAACAAAGCAGAACCCTTTAACTTTCAATAAATATTTATGCACTCAATGCTATATACATGTTCTATACACTGGCACACAGGACTGAGTGTGGATAGTTGCAAGCTATTTCTTTGCTGAAAACACAAATCTGTGCCTTTTGCTATTGCAGTCAGATGCATGGTGGTTGCAAGGAAATCCACTTATAAATAAATAGCTTTCTATCTCCAAAACCTTTTTCCACCTTAATAAAAAAGCCATTTAGAGAATACTCTGGAAAGAAAGATGTTCCACATACAGTAAGTCTTTTTTTAAATTCCAGCTTATTGTACTTACAACAAAGCTTTGTTCCTGCAAACGTAACACGTACCAGAGAACCTCGTTCAGGCTAATCATGAAAGGATCGAACGAGCTCCAAGGGCCATTAAGCAATTTTCATATTAAAACTGAATGACATGGCTCTGTATTGGCAGACTGTGAAAGGGTAGATCAATTTTCCAAGCTCAGTACTGACAGATTACATTGTTTTAGCTCTTCATAAAAAAGCTAAAAGCACAGCTGGAACAAACAGCTGGGTGGTGAAGACAGTGAGAGATGGCGGGGACTCCTGAGCTAAAATAAGTCGCACTTCATTGCACGGGGAGAATATTTAATGTGTCTAAAAGTTAAAGATAATTTGTTTTTGAGTTTGTCTGGTCCCTAGTGGTCAAAAGTCAACTAATGCAGCTTTAGTTATTAGGCTCACCTGTGAACGCGAATGCAATCTAACACAGCAGTTCTGCTAACAACTCATCATTTAGATTCTTTGCTGACATTCCTCAAAGGTTCTTATGATTTTACCTGATTATGGAGGTTTCAGGCAGTGAGGACGTGTAGGCTACATAGGCTGCCTCCCTTCCTTCCCACATCACTGCCCTCTATGACCTCAATAACAAACACAAACAGAAAGCTTCACAGGACAAGGATTTATAGCGGTGTGCTGATATCGGATTGCATTTCTTTCTTTTCACAGGTTAACGAAAAGTCACGGTAAAAGTGAGGCTAAAGTAAAAATACATTTTACATGTATTATGAATAATTTTGGTCCTTTGACCTGAGTGTTGTACCGTCTATTTTATATGCGCATGCTCTTTAGTTAGTTCTCTTCTTTGCCCTTAAGTATTTCTGAGAAGAAGAGAAAAACATGGAACAAAGCTAAATATGAAAGGCAGCCAGCTTGGTACAGCAAAGCGACTGTTAGCAATAAGTGAGCTCTGTCTAACAAAGCTGTTCCTGTACTAAACACAGAAACAGGATGAATGCTTCGGTGCTGATAGGTGGTGTTTTCTTTGGACAGAGCCGGTTAGCTTTCCCCATGTTTTCAGTGTTTATGAAAAACTAACTTAATTGTGTCATACAAGGTATCAAACATCCCATCTCTCTGCACTTTGACTTTTCCTTAAGTTAGAACAGAAACCTTCATGGCATTCTGAAAGGAAAGCTACATCAATAATCAGTCAATAATCCCTTTCTGCCCATGTGAACAGTCCCTGGAAGGGTAAACACTGGCACCAACATCTGTCAGAACTGGTTAAAAATGTATTTGAAAGCATCCCACCTTCTTAAAATAATACTGATATTCTCATGTACAGCATTTACAGGAAGCTTTATAAATAGTGCGTCGGGGAAATTCATCTCTGTTCGTGTTTCATATTCACTTAAAGTACGGTAAATCATTTTTCACTGAATACTTTGACGGCTGAACTTTCTGTAAGTCGAGCTTTAAAGTTCGATTTCTGGCAAGAAAACTGGCAGTTTGTAACATTCAAGTAGTGGGAATTCTCAGCTGATCTGGCTTTGACTATTGTTAACTTTAAAATGACACCGAACTCTGACATCTACCTCAAAGGTCACAATGTGGGGACAGGATATGGATGCAATCAATTAAACGCATCGTAAAGCTGAGATTTATCCAAAAAGAACCAATGTGGCAAACGTGTCCATATGGAAAAGATATTTATACATCTTATAAAGTTTGTATCTGTCTTGTGTGAAACTTGAATGAAAAGCATATAAGAGTGAAAACAGATATAAGATGCCTTGAAAAATTATATAATGAAACTTGTATGTTTTGGATACTAAAACAATATATGAAAGTAATGAGAAAGTGGCCACTTTCATGAGTAAATCATAGAAGTTTTTCCATATGGGTGGCCTTTAGTGGAGTCACTTTTAAATGAACTGAAATGCAAGAGGCATTTAAACCAATTCTTGCATCTATTTACTCTCTGAGTTCTACTAAATCTACACAGCTGGATTAGCTCTGGTCTCTGCACCTGCTCACACTTTCTCTCTGGATACCTGCAGCAGCATAGCTGCTCTGCAGGCAGCAGCGGTCTGGTTTATTCAGTAACGAGACCAGACGACCGCTCGTCCGGAGGGGGAATGCAGACACCTTCCTCCACCTGCTCTCTCAGTTTTCACTGTGCAGGTGACATTAGAGAAACATTTGCCTGAACAAGTGAACAAGGTGATAAAATGAAATAAATGTCAGACATCGGGAATGTATGAGTCAGAGCGACAAACATCTTTTGAATACTGAACTGTCCTTTGGCTGTTTTGTATCCCTGAAAGTATTCACTACGAACGTAATTTAGCTTTTCATTTGACACGGTTGAAAACTCCCCGTGGCTCACGTGCCCCTACACCTTGAAATGATTTCATATTTGTTTCATATTAATATAGAAGTATGAGGGCAAAGTAGCACGGCTGTTTCAGCCTCAGCAATCTGGAAGCTGCAGGTGGTTAAAGAGATATTTAGAGTCCGTATCAGGGTCAAATTCTTACAAAGTGAACCAGCACTTTTCTTTCTTTCTCTGTGTTTTCTGGTATGAGAAGACTCAGGATGAAGCTGGATTATCTACTGTACATTACGAGTCCTAAAGGCAAAAGCTATGACTTTCATCGCTCCACTTCAGAATATGCCACAGGCTGCCGACTGTCCACCAAACTGCTTGACCTTTGACCCCGAGTAGGACCAGCCTGGGTGGACAGCTTCCTGTCAGTGAGGTCCGTATGTCGTGGAACCCGCCTTGGTGCTGTAGCGATCTTTGATGGGGTTTTCTTAACTGGAGCAGGCGTGGTGATGTGTTTTGCTGCACCGCCCGATGTGGCGGATCCTTTGCCCGCGCCTTGTTTCCCACCGCGAGTGCCGTTGGCCGCTACTGCGGCCGTTAACGTCTCAAGGAGCTGCGAGGCTGATCCGAAGCGAACGTGTTCCTCGGTCTCAGCCGCCTCCGAGAACATAGACAGGGCTCCGGTGCGCTTACTGCAGGAGTCGCAGCACAGCTTGCTGTAGCCTGGGATAGAGCAGTATCTCGCTAACACCTCCATTTGGCAGAAGATGGATTTGTCCCCATTACACGGCTCATCTGTAAGTCAAAGAGCATACAGTGTAAGCTCGCCGCAGTGTCAAAACTCTGGAAAGTTTAAATGGCCTTGGAAAGAGATCAAAAGAAAGGAAGGGATGCCTTACAAAGCGCAGAGGCGTTGCTTTTAATTAGAGACTGACAGCAAAGAAAGTGTCTGTGCACATTCTAACGGCACATTCAGCATAACGATGCTCATTCTGTTCTGCCTGGACGGGAGATGTGACCCAGTTTCTTCTACTACTGTACAAACCAATTCCAAGCGTGTTTGGTGTTGGCTCCGGTTCATCCCCCTCACGCTCTCAGGCACCAGAACTCTGCTTTTGTTTCTCTAACAAAACTGCTGAGTGTTGCTTAACAAGACTTACATCCGTCCTAAAACGACTTCCAGAGACCTCAACGACTCTTCTAAGCACATGCATGAAAATGTCTCAGGTCTAATCAGAAAGATCTTTTACCTTGTTTAATATTTTGCCATTCAATTGCTGCTCTTTAACACAAAAATGCAAAATAAGTACCTTTATCTCGGCTAAAATTATAAATAAATATGCACGGCAGCACGGTAAAGATTTAAAGTAAAGGTAATAATCTCACAGCAGCGTCGGCCAGACAAACCACAGACGTTTTGTTCATTCAAACCTCTTCTTTTGCTTTTTGAGGGACGATGTTCTACATAAACTCACAGCATGCACAGATAAAATAAACACATGCATATATAACAGCTGGAATGCTACCTGCAGAGAGCTTAATGTGCTCTCGCCGACTTATGAGTGTGCTACATTATTATTATTATGAGATGTATCTCTGTAACTTAAATACTGACTTGGCATTTATGTTTCGCATAAAGCATGCAGCGACATTTACAAATGACATGCACTTCCACTGACACGATCAATAAAATACGCTGGTTTAAAAATCTGTGTGCTGTCTCAGAAAGGCCACGTAGGGGCTTAGGGCGGGTTATTAAAATCAGAAGAAGTTCCATGAAAAGGTTTGGATTTGGCAGGATTCTGTTTGGACTCCTTTTGCTGATTTTCAGATTTTCATCGCTGTTGTGAACAAACACAATGCTTTGGGGGGATTTTGTCTCTTTTTGTTTCACTGCACGTTGTCCTAGAATAGTGACACACAATCTGTAAATTTCATGTTTGTGATCGCGTCCTGTCACGGCTGTACAAATAGGTAAACTCTTGACTTTAGTAACCTGTTAAACGTCCTTCAGCAGCAGCAACCTGTGTTAGCTTCTCATAGACACCAAACTGTTTACATCACTGGACAGCCCCCTTCAAACATGTCGCAGCATCTCACTCGTCCTGACTTTAACACGATGTCTCGTCTCCTAAACGCTAAGCCAGCCTCCTGCCTTGAGTTTGTTTGTGTTTCTATTTTTATTGAATACAAGTCACCCAGACCCTGCATGCTTTGGTGTGCAGTGTAGCTTAAGAGTTACACTCTTGTCCCATCTGTTCGCTAAACGCTGTCCTAGAAATCTTGTGTGGAACATTCAGTTCTTTTGAAAAACTGAGATCTGCCAAAATACAGGTTTGTTTTCTACACTGGACATATAACATGGTTTTTACTTCATTGTAGAGCTTTCTGCAGGTTTTTGTATGTTAACCTCAGATTCTTCACAGATCTTTGCAGGACTGTTGGCGAACTTCCTTCACATCTTGTCTCATTGCAGATGAATGAACAAAGAATCTTTTGGAGCATCTCTAAAAGGTTTCTTCTAAGGTTGTGTGACAGAAAGGTTTTAAAACAACCAACAGCAGCAGACTTCGTCATTAACCTTTGTATGTTTCTATTGTAGATTAAGCACAAGCTAATTAACACACAATGCACTTAGAAGCATGACTGCTTGAAAACAATGTCGGCCATTTATGCACATGACATCGTAAGCTCCACGAAGTTTCCCCTCAGAATAGAAAGTGAGCGATTATGCAGTTTACTTAATGAAGACACAAAAGTGTTATTCCATTAGATCTATGAATGAGCTTTCGATCAAAGCAGAATGGGATGATTCCTTCGGCCTTACTTGCTTTGATGCATTTCAAACCAAAGTCTAGCAAACATTCGTGCAGGCGCAGACGCCTTCCTGTGCTACCACAGAGTAGAGTTTTTGTGGGGTGAAGCAATTTCATACAGACGCTGGACACTTTCAAATGTCATCACAGCAGCTCCAACTGGAAGAATGACGTTAGCAGCAAAGTAAGAGTAATAATGTGTTATTTCTTCACAAATGTCATTGTCTGGGCTTTAAATCACTAAAGGAAATGACTTTAAATGAAAGCGTGACAGGACGGCACGTCAATAAGAGCATGTAAAAGGACGCACTGTTAACATCTGAATACATTTTTCTTCCTTCAAGCAGTGACTGATTTAATTTTCGAAGCGGCAAAAAACTCGAAGTCTAAATCAATCACGGGAAATGCTTGAATGAAGTTTTACTGTTGTTGTAATGTCAGCAGAGATGCTTCCGTCTACCTGGTCGTGAACTGCACTCACCCGTGAACAATGTTGGTACTTTCTAATGAATTATTGCAGGCTAGATGGACCGAGCCCGTTTCGAGGGGCTGCTGATTGATTTTCCTTTTCATTTAAAAACAAATGGAAACCGTCGGCTGGCTGCGAGGTCAGGGGAAAATGCAAGATTTGGTATTTTTTTTATCAAGGACGTAATCTGCTAAAATGAAGAGCAAATGATATGCATTATGTATTTTGTCTAGAGGACCTGCTGGACTGAAAGACGGGCATGTTGGAATTACTGATTATGTGGAGGGAAGCACAATGTGCTGAAATGTTAATGGAGTAAATGAAAAGAAGACGCTGCATGTTTGCTACGAGGATTGCACCATCAGACATTCTTACCGTGGCAGGGTCCAGGTTTGCACGGCCTCACGTTTTCGGGCTTTTCTCCGTTACACTGATCTCCAATCCGGCAGGTGATCAAACGCCTTTCTATCCCCTCTCCACACGTCACAGAACACTGAGCAAGAGTTTGAAAAGATAAGAAAAGTGAGCTGAAAATTTGCTTCAGGTTTAATGTTCAAAAAGAAACAACACTTCTTACTTTCCTCAGAATTTTATATGTCAGAAAACTATCCTGGGAATACATCACACAACTAAAGTATTTTGTCTCAGTCTCACTTTGCCCGTTGCTTCAGTGACATCTTTATTTTGTACCCAGGGAGTCTGGTGAATTAACAAACTTAAAGCCCTCAAATGAAGCCAAACAGCATCTGAAATCTCAACAGGCCCAGGTGGAGAGATCCTCTTTCTTCTGTTACAACATTTTGAATAATTTATTGATAAACCTGCAAGACTGCAATACTGAAGCAATCAATCGCATCACCTGTGGCCCCGTGTGTGACACATGGCTTTTTACCCAACCTTTGTGTATGTGTATATATGTGTATGTGTGTGTATATATATATATATATATATATATATATATATACATACATATACACACACACACATACATATATATATACATATATATATATATATACATATACATATATATATATACACATATATATATATATATACACACACATATATATATATATATATATATATACACATATATATATATATATATATATACACATATATATATATATATATATATACACATATATATATATATATATATATACACATATATATATATATATATATATGTATATATATATATATATATATATATATATATATATATATATATATATATATATATATACATCGCGCCACTCAGCCGGACGCCTGATTTATTGAATTCTTTGATGTGGTTTTTTAAAGGTCTCATTTGGAGGAAGTGCAGGCTGTAAAACTGGCATGTTTGCAGATGAGATGCGACACGGCTCTAAATTAAATATTACAGATGCCTGATTCTTTGTACAGAGACCCTGCTATGTCAGCTGAGGTGCCATTGGGGAACAGAAAACAACGTTACATTAAGAATGAAATCAGTCACAAAAGTCTGGGACCAAATTCTTCACCCTCACATCAAAGACAAACAGCAAATATAAATGACTCTTTCAGATGCGATTCTTTGATCTGCGACTCAAAAGAAAATGGCTTTTTCAAGCTCAAACCCAGTAACGTAAAATATTTGCCACCTTAGTATTTTCTCCATTTTTGCATATTTAACATGTTTCAGATCATCCAAAGTTACCTGCCCCAAAGCGACAAAGCAGCAGTCGTCTAAACCCAATAAACGGTTGTGCTACACTTGCACAATCACACTTTGCAATCAAACAGATAAATGGGAGTGTTTCATATCACTGTGGAGGAAATTTAGGCCACACGTCTTTCCTGGAGGGTTTGCAAACATGAACGGCCTGTTTAAGGTCATACCATCGCACCACCACGTCTGATGTTTGTTTGTTTTTTAATAAAATAGTGTTAGCTTGAAGCCAGATGTAACAGGACTCAAACCTTGCAGACAGTTCTGCTTTTGTCTTGTCAGTTCCTAAAAGTCTCGGCGATGATCCAGATGTTTTTTGGCAGATGTGATTCGAGCTTTTGTACTCTTTTGGTCAGCAGTGGTCTTTGCAACCTTTTCCAAAGTGACAGATGTCAGTGAGTTGGTTTCTCAGCTGCTTCTTTATATCGTGGAATGATGCGCTGTTTAGTTTGCTGCACTTTGTCACACAGGTTCAGGTAGGTTTGGATATTTTTATTTTAATTAATAAAATGAATATTTAAAAACTGCATATTGTATGTTTTTGCATTACCTTTATTTAATAACATATTTTTTAAAAGATCTGAAACATGAAAATATGACAAATATGGCCCCCGCCCCGAAGAACAAATACATTTGGTGGATACCTCTGACCAGGCTCCGGTCCTCCACTGGGCAGGACACGGCACTCTGTTACAGGGCCTTCGACTCTCAGGCTTCTCGCCGCTGCAGTATTTGCTGTGGATGGAGCGGTTCGTGCCATCATGCAGGAACTGTACGCAGCGAACGGTTCGGATCTGAAAGCCTAGGCTGCTGCAGGTTTTGGTACAGTGCTCCCATTCTTCTGAGATCCATCTGCAGGGAAAACAACACAGGATCACTGACGTCACCTGGTAACTGCCACTGAGGACGTAAACACAAGGGGTACACATTTTAAAAGAGACCAGTTCCAATAATATGCTGTATAAAAAATTAAATAAACAATGAAATAAAAACAGAAAGAAAACTGAATCTCTTGGCCATGATATCTACTCTTCACTGAGATAGAGAGTGAAGACCAGCCAGCGGACACAAACTCTCCAGAGTATGCTACGTCTGCTTCAGGCTCTCCTACTGGTTGCTTAAACCATTTCCTCTGAATATCGGCTCCCTCGAGCCATCTCTAGACTTCTGGAGAAGCTATTTGTCATATGTCAAAGTATGAATGCAGGTCAGCCATTTAAACCAATAGCTGTGCCTTTATGCTCACCACAACAGACCAGCACCAGTGTCCAGCTGTTCTACCTTAAATCCAATCAAATCAAACCTTCAACTGTGACCATAATTTAAAAATTACCAACATGCTTCATAATAAAACTAACAATTGATTTTCTGAGGTCAAAAATCAGGCGAGCAGTATTTATTGCAGATTTCCAAAATAACGTCACATCTTTTTGGAAGGTGGAAATTCCCCTGAGTGATATTAGAAAGACTGATGGTTAAATCTGCTACATACATCAATCGGCAGTGAATAAATTATTGAGTAAAAATATACTTTTAGATGCGGCCTGTCACAACAGGAAGGGATTTCTGAACGGAGGAAAAGGGGCAGGAAAAATGGGAAACGATTTATGTCGAGTTTTCACGGAAGGAAGCAATAAATAAATAACACGTGGAATCCAGGAGCAGGCTCGGATACACTGTTCACTGACGAGAATTAGTATGCAGAGGCGAAATGTTTGTTAACAGAAAGCCTGAGCGCAGATAAACACCTCAGACAAAAGACGCCATCAGCACAGAAAGCTGCTGACGCCTCCACATAAATCAATAAAGACATTTAAAATTCGGCATGAATCCTCTTACATTAGATTTCCATTAGCTCTAATCTATACACTAGCAGGTCTCTGAATGCACTTCATTTCTCAAAGATTTCCCAAACTCTATGAAGGCCCTGTATGAGCAGGTTTTCTGTTTTTGCATGCGTCAAGAAACATTATTGTTCAACGTAGGACGAAAAGGCTGCATAATAATGTTTAAATAGGCAGTAACATTTTTTACTTTTTATTTTGAGTGCTGTAACTTTTCTAAAAGAAGCCAAACTGAAAAGAAGTCAACGCTCTGTGCACATATCTTTTCTCCGGTGCCATTAAAGAGGATCTTGGCAGGTTTCCCAATAATTTTGTAGTAAAAGTATAATTTATGTCCATCTAAGGTCAAATTATGCTGCATCATGTCAGAGTTTATCCCAGTAGGCTAAACCTGGCAAGTTACTGTGACAAGATTTCGGTGGATTACACAGTAATCAAACTCCTTTTATATACCGAGGGTTACACACTGACTATGTGCCAGAGCAGCTTGAGTTCACCAAACAATCTCACGAACGTTCGGTGAACATGAAGAATGAGTTTAATTAAAAACTGTATGTATTGAAGTTCTTGTGCATTGTAAGACTGATTAAACTAAATGTGAAAATACGCCAGCTTCATGATCCCACATCAGTCGTGAGTCGATGCATTTCTATCCTTTAAGGTGCAGCGATGCAAACATCCTCTTTGACTTTTCTCATCTCTTTCATCAGAGTGTCCTCAAGATTCACAAAAACCTTGGCCTCACGTTGTGAAGCAAGGTGGAACAATGATGGGAAAAAGAAAACAAAATCCAGCTATTTAGGCAATTTGCCTTCCTCTTCAAAGGTCTGACCAAGTACCTGAACATGACCATGCACATCATTTATATACATAAAGCACAGAGTGAAAGCCCTGAGAGACTGCAAAGACCCATTTAGACGCTACAATCTTCTTCATCATTCACTTACTGAGGTAGAATATTTGGACTTTTATGTTATAACTCATTCATGAGCTTGCATGTGGAGAAGGATTTAAAATGTGATTCTGAAAGCAACAAAAACACTGAAATGCAAAGTAATTAGACAATAACTGATGGGTGCACAGAGATCAGACAAACAGACGATGCTGAGAGTGAGGTGGCTGTGTCAGGAAGTCCAGCAGAGGCTGGCGGTTTGATGCCTGGCTCCTTCGGTCTACATGTCTGTTGAGTTTGTAATCAAGCAGCGGAGGCGACGTCTGGGTTCAACACTTTATTTCAGGCTTTACAGCGGAGCTCCATCTCTTTTACCTCTCTCTACTTTCTTCTTCTCCCCTCTCTCTTACCCAGCCTCATTAGCGGCGCCCCTGGTCTGACAGGGTAACAGCATGTACTAATTTGCTTCCTTTATTATAGAACCTTGTAAACACAACAATGTCATGTGTCCTTGGCAGGATACTGAACCCTAAATGGCCACAGATGCCTCCAGTTGCACAAGCGTCTGCTGCGTGAGTCTGTCTATAATAGAGAGTGTGCTATATTATAGACCCTATGCTGAATGCTGAATGATCAGTCAGACTTGAAAAATTCAATCAAATGACCAAAACAAACGTACTCGTGACAAACAGCACACACACCAGAGTGCATCGAACTAGTACAGATGGTTCTCTGGTGTGTGTTGCTTTTACAAAGCCATGCTAGTAGCTCTGTGAGACTAAATACAGTAGCTGTTGTTACAGTTGCTGACCTCTAGGGGCTCTGCCCATGTGAGAGGGCTCTTTCTCCTCCTGTGTTTCAGGTCTAACCACAGATGAGATGTGTTGCAGCTCGTCAGCCACTGCATAAAGACTGCCATGTCCAAATGTTTTCACCTGCAGTGATTCGGGTAGTGGACTGTAGCTGTGCACAACTAGTGAAGCTTGGTGTGACTTTGTTTTGTTTGTAGGTGTATCTTTACAACGGGAATTGTAGTGATCCACAGTGGAAGCAGGAAGGGTTTCTCTGCCATTTTTGTTTCAGCCTTTTTCTCCTGTTTTGTGGTTAGACGGGGAGCTCCGCCTCTGTACTCTGTTTTCTTACAGTTAGAGTGGTTTTATGTCTGTGAAGGTTCTCAGTCATCCAGGTCATCGTAGTCAAAGGAGCTTGCAAAGAAAAGCGTCTGGACTTCTTTAAGTTGCTTGAAGACGTTTCACCTCTCATCCGAGAAGCTTCTTCAGTTCTATATCTGGGACTCTCCACCATTTGACCTTAGAACTGAAGAAGCTTCTCGGATGAGAGGTGAAACGTCTTCAAGCAACTTAAAGAGTGGTTTTAGGTTTTTTTTAGCTAGAAAGGAGTGTTTTGTTTGTTATTTCGGCCACTGAGACAATGACGCTTAGAGTTTCCCCGTGTCTTATTTTTGTTCTAATTTTGCCTTAATTGTAAATTAAATGATGTTCCACTGACGTTAACTATTACATTTTTTTCCCCACTTTGTTACACCCCATCCCAGATAACACTTAAGTGGGTTGTAACATATGTGGGCGCTTGAAACCAGGACCTCTCACACCCAAATTCATCACATACTTTTTAAAAACTTGTTGAAGAGCCCTTTGTGTCACATTTAAACGCAGTGATTGTGTAGTAATAATAATAATAATAATAATGTACAGCATTAAGGTTCATTTGTAACTCTTTTTCTAGCCCCTTATCAAACAGCTGTTAGAGCCTAAACCTGACTGAAAAGGAAACGCGTCTGCAAATGAAAAGAAAGCTACACAAACTGCATGTACAAAGAGAGCGCGAACCACAGTCTCATAGCTAAGACATTTGCGACTGAGGCTCCCACCGCACTTCCATCCTCACAATGAGAACTTTATCACTCATTGAAGGACAGCCATTATCTCAGGGCACCAGTTTAACTCACAGGTTGCGCAGGCGATCGATGCCGTGAGGTTCACTACAGCGGCCTGGATCTCCACCCAAGGCCATTTCTGTCTCCTCCACTTTTATCCCCCAGTTAATAATTGCAAAGTCTGGGGCATAAATACAGTAACATCCAAGGTCACAGTGACACCAAATGAAAAGCAGGTTTCTATTTGGAGATCAGGAACATCAGCAACATGATGTAGATGGTACCATACTCCATTAGATAAATGTCAAATTAATTCTGGCTTTATGAAAGGCCCCGGAAACGCCAAGAAACTCATTCATCTACTAAGGACCATGAGTGAAAGCAAAAAATTCACAGATAATTATTTTCACAGCTACACTGGAACAAATTCTTAAAGACAACAGTGACATCAAAACACTACACATCTGAAAAACGTATGTTCTTCCATTAAGATACACAAGGCAAGTTTCCTTTCTAAGAAAATGATAACAAGAGAAAACGTCGTGCCCAGGAGACATTTGCTCTATTAGTTCAAACGGAGCTCCGCTCTGAGCTGCAGCCAAATCACTCCCCCCCAAAGGGAAGTCAATCGCACTCAATCCGTTTCCAAAACAGCAGTGAGTGAATCATCCAGCGTTAGATCTCAGGAGCTTTATGATCTCTTCTCTGGAGTTTTGGTTTAAAGCTAAACGGGACAGCTTACGTGTAGCATTAGCTTCCTGTGTGCTGCATCATCTCAGAGTTCTTAAGCAGGCTGATGAGCTGTGAAAGGAAGTGTGAAATTTGGATGGATGATTTCATTTGCATTTTCAGAGGTCAGCAGACGTTAAGCTTACGTCTTTTCCTTTTCCATTCACAGTCGCGCTTCTTTTATCAGCGTAACAGCTACACGCAGCAGAGCTGTGTTATCACTCCGGAGGCAGTTTTTCCCTTACATGATTATGTGTCTTTACAACAGACTGCTGTGATTTTTCTCACAACTCATTGCTCAACTAACAAGTCACACTGAAGAGTAAACGTGCCCACAGGTCACTGCACGCTGACCTTTTCAACTTTGGTTGGTCTCTGAAGATCTGAGGCGGCCTGTGAACTGAATGAAACATGAAGAGCACTCCCAGCTGAAGCAGGAAACGTGTGTGAACCACTGAACACCAAGTTAGTTACAGCATGATGTCCAATCAAGATTTGTAAAATAAGCACAGTTCGATTAATAGTGTAACAGTCTCACTCTTTTCAGTTCAATTCAGTGTTATTCATACAGCGCCAAATCATAACGAAAGTCGCCTCAAGGTGTTTTATATTGTAAGGTCGACCCTACAATAACACATACGGAGAAAAACCCACCAATCATATGACCCCCTATGAGCAGCACTTTGGCAACTAGCACAGTCCAGTGATAAGAAACAGATAATTGAAATTTAAATGATGCTGACAAAGGCATTTACCTACTGCTCCTGTGAAAACGTAAGGAGACACAAGACACCTCTCAAGTGTGTCCTGGCTCTGCAGCTTCCTCCAAGTTGGACACGCCCAAAATGCCTCATCTAGGAGGCGTCCACGTCAGCTGACTCCTGTCGATATGCAGGAGGGTACGTCTCTTTTGAGCTCACAAAGGTATTCTTTGGGTTGCTACCTGCAGATCTTGGCCATGGAGGGCAAGAATGTAGACTGACAACAGACCAGTAAAACGTCTGCAACACTGCCGAGGCAGGACCAATCCTACTGTCAATTTCTTCAACAAGCCCCTGATATACTTAAACTCTGGCACTTGAGGACGAAATTCATCCCCTACACTGATTTTGCACTCCACTCTTTTCCATCTGAGAACCATGGCCTCAGACCTGCAAGTGCTAATTCCCGACCCAAACACTTCAAATTCAGCTGCAAACTCCTCAAGTGTCAGCTGGACGTCGCCATTTGATGAAGCCAAGAGGGCCACGTCGTCCACAAAAAGCCCTGACGAGCTCTCGAGACCACTGGCTGGGATACCCTCTGCTCCTCGGCTGCACTTAGAAATTATGTTCATAAGTTGCCACTGATGAAGAGAAAGAGTGGCAAAGGGCAACTCTGGTGGAGTCAGTCCCACTGGGAATGACTGAGACTTAATGCTGGCAACATGTTCGTCAGGTCCAGCTTGAGTAGAAGTTTAACAGAAACCTTTCTTTAGCTGGAGGATGAGGGGAGGCCTGTACTCACTGAGGCTGTGTGCAGTCCTGAAGGTTACACATTCTTCGGATGGGTTTGGGCCTCTTGCCAGCGTCGCAGTAGCCTCGATGAACCATCTTGGTGTCTCCCTTTTTCCGACATCCATACTTGGTGTACTGAAACCCTGTCCAGAAAACCCCCACCCCCAAAAACCCCATGTTTTAATTAGAAAGACAGTTCACATCCTTTTACTGGGGTTTGACTTTCAAACTTCAAAGTTCCTTTGCAATTACTCAAGTCACATTTTTATATCTAATTTCCTTTAAGTTTAAAATATGTCTTAAAGCTTTTGTCTACTTTTAAGTTAAATACCAGCGTGCTTAAGCCTGCTGACATAAAATCTTAGAGGTGTATTCAGGCTAATATAAATATAACACAAGCATGTGCAACATCAAAAAGGGAAAGAACTGCAGTTAACAGTTCAAGTGTGAATGTGTGAATGAGACACGAAAGTGCTTTAAGTACTCGAGTATAAAAGTGTTGCATCAGAAACACTCCATTTACCATTATGGGATATTTAGTAAGCTGGAAAAATGTGTAATTTTCTTTTGCAGGATTACAAATTTCATGCTGTTCCCACACTAAAGGTCAGAGTAGAGGTCACATATCAAGTAGATATAATAAGATGCAAAATTTGACAAATATTAATGTTGTATCAGTTTGTTTCTTTGTTTGAAATATTTGCAGCTATGAAGTCGTGAAATTTAAGCTCACAGTGACATCTTTGGTGGCCAATTCTGCAGATTTGAAATGCTGATGCTCTTCGCACAGGGATGTTTAAAAACCAAACATAACATTTGACATATGAATAATACCAAAAAACACAGTAGAAAAATGATAAATGAAGTTTTTTTAGGACTCATGACCATCGGGAGAAAAGAAAAAAAAGGTTAGGGTAGCAAAAATCAATCTTATATCAAGTACCAACCTTATCTTTCCTACACTAAGAAACAGTGAGTACTGCCAATAACACCTTTTCGATATTCTGTGTATCCATGCAAATGAAAAGACTTTGTGGTTAGAAGTGCATATAACAAATGCATGTCAATCATCTTGTTTGAAGACAAAATATTTGGTTTAATTAGCTCACTCAGTCAATAATTTCTTACTTCAAAGCTTGAGAATGTGGATAAAAGCAGATCATCACAAACACCTATAGACTGAATGACTGAATATGAAACTTCAATATACAATTTTAATAATTAGATGAAAAGTATTTATTCGTCTTCATTCATTTTTTTTTAAAGTGAAGGTAGTTTCTGAGTTTACCTCCAGCACATGGCTTGGAACACGGAGACCAGCTCTTCAGAGCCCACTCATAGGTCTCCTCCTGGATGACATTGTTATTGTTGATGGGCACCGAATCTTCATGGATGATGTACTTATACATCAGAGTCGACCGTGTCTCATTGTCCTTTGGTATAATCTAGAAATCAAAGGAAGTTAAACCATTATACCATCATCCTCCGTGTCTAATATCAAAACACGCAGAAAGATTGCCCTCTCTCAAACACGGCTCCTGACTGGGTGGCAGATAATGGAGGAAATAGAGAGGAGAATTCATGGGCAAGTTGAGATGCACCAGTTTTGCTCGTGTCCCCGTCTCAGAGCTTTTCATCTGGATCAGTTTAAGATTTACAATTATATTAAAAGACACGATATATAAAGTTTGAAGGTGAAAGGCTTTTGTGTAAATGTGTAATCGACAGCTTTTCATGGTGTGTGCCATTCATTTTGCATCATCGTGTAATACAAAAAACACAAGATGAGTAATAATATAAATTATGAAGAGTAGCCTTGAAGTGAAATAAAATTCAGCAGTTGACTTCAAATTCAAACATTACGTCGTCACCTCTTCACCACAGAGTGTCTATTACTGTGCTACAGAAAGGAGGAACATGGAGAAAATCTCAGCATTTCAGCATCTACCTTTTGGCTTTTAGGTCTCGCTGAATGAAGTCTTTTCAAAGGAGAACGCAGTGTTAAACTTTTTGAACATACTTTAGAGTCTTTCTTTAAAAGGAGACTTGTCTGTTTTGTACTCAGGTGCCCTTCAGGTCAGGCTCACTGCAAAGCAGAGCAGCCAGATGGAAATATGAAATGTTTGGTGTTTATTTCATTTTTACAAGACTCGCTAACATTAAAGCAGTTTGAAAAACAGCTGAAGAGGAAATGAGCTACGGACGTTTTCTTTCTTTCAGTCATTCAAGTCTAGAAGCCTGTCCTGGTTGGAAAGCGGTGACTCGAAGTCCCAGCAGCTACTAGTGTCGTGGCTCAAGAGTTGGGAGTTCGTCTTGTAATCGGAAGGTTGCCTGTTCGAGCCCCGGCTTGGACAGTCTCGGTCGTTGTGTCCTTGGGCAAGACACTTCACCCGTTGCCTACTGGAGGTGGTCAGAGGGCCCGGTGGCGCCAGTGTCCGGCAGCCTCGCCTCTGTCAGTGCGCCCCAGTGGGTCCTTAGGGACTAGTAAAGCGCTACACAAATACAGGCCATTTACCATTTACACCTCACCAAGTGTGGTCAATTAGCAATTCAGCCCAAGCAACACCTGGAGACTCTTGCACTGCCACTGCAAAGAGAAGGCGTTCCTCGTGCTAGACCTTAGTGTAGAAAGGAAATGAAGCCTAACAAAAGCGCCTGGGCTTGCAGTGCAGCAGCAGCTTTTGTTCCTAACTGTACCCAGCAGTGAGGATTCACAGACCTCCCTGTGTTCTGCTTTGGTTTAGAAGCTAACGTGCTGCCGCATTAACAGATATGAGCCGTGACTTCAATTCACAGAGTAACATTTTAAGTGCTGGAATCACAAATGGAGCCGAAACCACTCGAGCATCTATACGGACCAGTGGGACATTTGCATTAGAGATTTAAAGCTTTGTTATGTGCCACAGACGATTATTTAATTTGCTTGGCAACCTTTAAACTGTGTTTTCGTCAGCGGATGATCGTTTGCTGAACTATTACAGGTGCAAGGCAACATTTGAGTGTAATGTCAGGAGTCCTAGGAAAGAAATGCATGGTGTTCAGAGTCTGTTCCTCTTGTACTCATACAAGTCTCCTGTCTGGAGGTTAGACACTGGTTCATTTTGGATCTCACCATCTTTGTTAATCAGATGTGATCGTAGATGAGAGGGTTCAGTGCTAACGATTAAAGTTTGGAAGATTCATCCACAGATGAGTTCAGGTTAAAGGATCCACCCACCTCCCACTCAGAGCAGGCCTTCATTATAAATACTGTAGGTTGAGTTTCAAGTATTTATAATTATGACAGGAAAATATCAAACTGGAATTTTTAATCTAACAGGCTACATGTTTATTTTTGAGTCTGTGGGGTTTGACTGGCTTTTGGAGTCAGACTCGAGTAGCCAATTAAGGAACTGCAATCTCTGCACTTGTTTGTGTATTGTTGCTTTGCAAACACTCACGCTGAGACAGATTCATTAAATGTTTTAGGAAAGACTTATAAAAGTAAAACATTTGATCCTGTTCAAGAAAACACACATCCAAGCCCAGACGACTTATCAGCAAATATTATCTTCATTGAGTTGACAACACATGTTGCAGAGACACACAACTGAAACATATTTCTGGGGTCACAGACGATGGTGGTGATGTTTCGATGTTCACACTGTCACAAACTAACAGCTGGGTAAGTTATTGTTGCCAGTTTGCAGTCACTTCCATTATAACCTGTCATAACTGCAGCACATTTGGATTCTTTGGTTTTGTGCATTTACATGTTCACACTCATGTAGAGGTTTTCTTAATGACTTTGTAAGCACTTTTTTAAGTGTCTTAATCAAAGACAAAGAGATTTACCGATTTGTTTTTATCCTTGACTTGTACTCAGAGAGAACATGAAATATTTAAACGATTTGCACACTGCGTCCTTAAAATCTGCGAGATTAAACTCCATGTTTTTTCAAGTTGCAGGAGAAAGTTCCTGCTACGTCGCTCGTGTTTTTCTGACAAAGCTCTGTTCCTGGGAAAACTCATCAGTTTCTGTCACATCTGTTCTCTTCGATACGTTTGGAACAAACATGCCTGTCTAATTATTTTCCTGTCATAAAAGAAAAACAGCAAATATCCCAGACGTGGCAATTTAGAAAAGTCGACTGATGTGACATGCAAGAAATTTGAGTTGATGTCCACGAGAGAAAAACGATGATTAGAAAAATAGAAAGTAGTTTCTTTGTTTTTTAACAAGCTTCTCATACAAGTGAGACTTGAGACTAGATGAGATTCTAATAAACAGAAACCAGGGGAAAATAAATAAATCACCCTGTCAGCCATGACTGCATCATTTGATCACTTCCTCTTCTTTACCCCTTGAAAGTCTACCAGCAGCAGCCCATATTTCAGCCGGCTGGATGTACATCAGATGTTAGTGAGGGGGTCTCTGCCTGTGCAGCTGCCCCTGGAAAAACCTGGAAATTACTCTACCCACATCTTCACTGATATTTCCTGAGGTGTCAAAACTCATCATTAGTGATAAAGGGGATGTGAAAAGTCCAGTGAAAATCATCACTAAGCGTCCAGTTTATAAGTGATGAATGTAATGCAGCTATTAATTTTGCATTTTTTCCTCCTCGCTGCTGGCTATGGTCTCATTAGTAACTCTGACTGTTTTTCGACCTGTGGGAGCATTTTGAATGAGACGGTCCCCTGCTGCAGTGGGACTGGCTGTAAAACTGTCCTAATAGGCAGTTAAAGTCTGGTCTTCAGGGCACTGACTCAATTTTATGCACTACTTCAGTTCTCTTCATGTCTTTTGGGATGACTGAGAGTCAGCGTTACCCTTTTCTGATGCTGGAAAAACCATTTCTCCATTGATCCGTGTGCACGGGTTTGTTTCGTTAATGTCATTCAGACACACAGTTGTGAAAATAGTTGTTCGCATGGTCACCAGGTCCTTTAGGCATTCAATTTCAAAGTGCCAAGTGTTAGCTGGACTTATATATTTATTATATTTACACATAAATATATGCCCCCCCCAAAAAAGAACAAAAAAAACCAACTCAAATGCCACACAACCCTTTTAACAACAAGCACCCACATTCAAAGAATTGTAATTCCACTACTGTGAATCACCACAGTGGATTTAAATAAATCAGTTAAGGCACAGTCATTAATTTAGCAGGTTTATCAAGTATTGCAATAACTGTTTCAGAATTACAGCTATTTTTGTACGTAGTCCTCCACAGTTCCAGAGGCTGAAAATATTTGAGCAGCTGACTGAAAACCAGTTTCACAGGCTTCCTAACAAGCTGCTCCCTTGTTATTCATATTAAGCAGATATGAGATATGCAGTTGATTCCAAGAATTAAATTTATGTTTGCTCTTCACTGAAAACTGTCCGAGGGCCAAAGATGTGTCGATGCCTGATGTAAATGAGGCCAAGTTACAGCATGGGCACGTACGTCTGCCAGTAGGAGCAGGTGTTTATTGATGATGTGACTGCTGATAGAAGTAGCAGGATGAAGGGTACAGAGATACTGTATGCTCTCTGCTCAGATTGAGCCAAGCACTGCAAACGTCATCAGACGGAGCTTCACAAGGCTAATGGATAATAATCTGACGTAAATGCAAAAGCAGCTCAATAGATTCTAAAGGTAAAGACATGGAATATTTTTAAAAACACCTGATCTGAACCCAGCAGAGCAGACTCTCAGTCACCGGAAACAAAACTGAAGGGAGCGAGGCACACAAACCAGCATCAAAGTCCAGTTTTCTGCAGCTGGTGTCCTGCAGGTTTCAGATCTCACCTGGGTCAACACACCTGAATCACCAGGCCTCTGGAGAACTTCAAGACATATTGAGGAGGTCATTTAACTAGGGATGGGTATCGAAAACCGGTTCTTGATGAGAACCGGTTCCCACTGTTTCAATTCCTTGGAATCGTTTGCCACTTTTAAAAACGATTCCCTTATCGATTCCAGTCGCCCCGAATGACGTCATCACGTTGAGTAGCGTCTTTTACCCAGTAGGAAACACGGCGCCTGAGCGGCACAAACGCTCAAAAGTTTGGTTACACTTTATGAGAAAGGATGACAACAGGGCAACGTGCAATACTTGCAAAGTAGAGATTTCATCAAAGGGAGGAAACACTACGAATATGCAAAAGCATTTGCTCAAAAAACACGCGATTGCGTTCAACGAATGTCGTGTTTTTGATCCGCTCCGGACTAGCGAAGCTCAACCCAGCAGCAGCGGTAGCGTTTCCACGTCCTCTCCCGTTAATACTGCAGGTAACTAATCAATTAGCATTGAATATTATGTTAGCGCGATTTACCTTATTACAAAACCTGCTATTACTGTGCGTTGCATTTAGATAACCATGATGAGAGAGACAGAGTCTGGCTCAGATGTTGCCAGTTCTCGCTGCAGTCTACCGGTAGCGTCTCCTTTCAGGCCAGGATAGACTAATGTC